CATATGGGGGACTGGCAGGGGGCACAGTAGTTAGGGACACTCCCACATGGCTGGCCAAGGGTTAAGTCCTGGTCCTGGTGGCTTGCTTTCTCACTTTCCCCCTTGCTCTGCCCCTCTCTGGTCAAATTAAAAATCAATCAATCAAGTTAAATAAAATAATTCTTAGGGGAAAAAAACCTCATGCTGAGCGCTTGTGCGTGTGTGCCCAAGATCCCAAGAGGAGAATGGAGAAGGGATTGCAGCATGGTCACCTCCCCGGGGGATGATTTCTTTCTTTCTGTCTCTGTGTCTCTCTCTAACTCTTTGGGCAACACACACACCATATAACAAAGAATCCTCTAAAAAAAATAACAAATTTATTTCAGTGTAAAAACTTTTGAAATCTGTGGATTTTTTCATAATGTAATACTTCCATGAACTTTTTGAAGACTGTGTGTGTGCGTAGTCTAGACAGATGGATAGCTCCCGCCTAAGTTTTTCTTTTCTTTTTTTTTTTTTTTGAGAGTCTTTTTTGCTATAGGGCATGTGCGTTCGCCAGAAAGACAGAGGCAGACAGAGAGACAGAAAGTGAGAAATCACCCCCCAGGGGGGATGGCTACTCTGCAATCCCTTCTCCTCCATTCTCCTCTCAGGATCTTAGGCACACATGCACACATGCCCAACGTGAGTTTAAACCACCAGGTCCTGGACTTGAACCGTGGTCAACTACATGAGAGTCCAGCGACATAGCCATTACGCTAACTCCTGGTCCCGCTCCTGCCTAATTTTTAGAGGATTCAGCACCTGCAGGAGGTTTCCGATGCCCACAGAGGTAGGGATGTGACAGGAGGATGCCCAGGCAGCGATGGCATGAGACGCACCTCTGTGCCCAGGCTCCTGGATCAGCAATGCCATTCGAGCTTGCCAGGCCCGGAAATGACAGCCCTCGCTGCTGCCAGGAGCTCGGTTCCAGGTGCCCACTGGTCATGCCCTCCCGGGAGACCTGCATTTCTGCAGGCAGACAGGAAGCTGCTGCCACCATCCGCCTGTTGGGTGGACCATTACAAAGTGGCCCACTTCTCAGTCGTTCTCATCGCCCTGGCACCACCCCCTGGGCTCCCGGCGTGCAGTCCCCTGCCCAGGGAAGCAGAACGCCGACTCCTGCCCGTGGTCGGCTGATCTGCTTCTGAGCCGCCTCGTCAGCTGTTACCCGACTCTCACCTGGGCCAACAGCAACAGAAACCAGGCTTGTTGGAAGCTGCACTTACGACGACTGTAAATCGGAAGATGGGGCATGACTCTCATCCCGTGCTGGGCAGTCCAGTCCGAGACCTGTTCATGGGGCGATCCCATAGCCTAGCAATGAGGGAAGATGGCCTTGCGTGGCCAGCCACGGTTCTTCTAATCCTGGCCCTGGCTGCTTAAAAACATGCCCAGTGTGTGGGACCAGCAGGTGGCATAATGGTTACGTTGCTGGACTCTCACATAGTTGACTGAGGTTCAAGTCCGAGACCTGGCAGCTTAAAAAAAAAAAAAGCTCACACTGGGCATATGTGCGTACCCAAAATCCAGAGAGGAGAATGGAAGAGAAGGAATCGTGATGTGGCCATCCCCAGGGGGTGATATCTCACTTTCTGTCTCTCTGGCAAGCACATGGACCCTATAGCAAAAATCTCTCAAAAAAGAAAAGAAAAAAGAAAGAAAACATTTCCGGTGTGTGCATGCACACCTGCTCCTCACATTCCAACAGGATGGAGAAATGGAGAAGGCATGGCAGCATGACTGGTCCCGTGGGGGGCGCTTCTTCCCTCTCTCTCTGGCCAGTGCACACACCCTCCGACAATTAAAAAAAAAAAAAAGAGAAGAGATTTTTGCTATAGGGTGCATGCACTTACCTGAGAGACAGAATGCAAGAAATCACCCCCTGGGGCAGTGGCCATGCAGCAGTCTCTTCTCCTTCAGTCTCCTCTCGGGATTTTGGGCACGCACGCACACATACACATACGTCTATGTAATTTTGGGCACGCACGCACACAGCTGGCATGAGTTGTAAGCCGCTGGGTCTGGGACTCGAACCTCTGTCAACTACGTGGGAGTCCAGTATTTTGACCATTCCAAATAATTTTTTTTAAATTAAAAAGGAATTATTAGAGTCATTTTGTGCTTTCTGTAAAGGGGTTCCAGCTGTTGAAATAAGACGTTGGTGAGGAGGACAAAGCTAACCTGACCTCTCTGTTCCCTTTCAGATGAACTGGGAAGTGAAAACCTGAAAGTGTAAGTCTCCCACTGCTTCCGCCCCATGGGGGTGGGCGAGAGCCAGGAACAGAGCTGGAGGCTGAGCCTTTCCAAACGCGCCCCACTTCTGACCCCGGCCGAGGGCCCTGGCGGCTTGCAGCAGGCTGGGCAAGCCAGAGCCCTCTCCATCTGGGCAGAGGACAGGGGCGGGTGGGCTTTATTTCATTTCCTTCTGTTGGGGCAAGAATCTTTCTGGACCACTTTTATGCATGCTGATTAAAAGCATTCCCACCTGGGGCCAGCAGGTGGCGTAGAGGGGAGGAGACTGGATCCTCGGAGTCTGGACCATGTGGCTTGACAAGCACTGCCTGCATGCCCAAATTCCTAGAGAAAAATGGAGGAAAAGGGATTGTGGGGTGGCTACCCCCCCGCGGGGGGTGATTTCTCACTTTCTCTCTGTCTCTATTTCTCTTCGAGAACAAGAAGAGTCACCACCAGGGAAGGAGAAGAACCCTGGTGGATCAGAAAGCCCCACTGCAAGGGCCACCCCAGGGGAAGGGGAGAAGGGGGGGGTACGTGGAGGGGGCGAGGGAGGGAGGGGCGGAGAGGGAAGGAGGGAGAGAAGAGCCTTCCTCACCCCTCCCAGCAGCCCCACACAGTGAGAGAGGAGTCTCTTCCTCAGCAAGGTGTGGGCCACAGCTGGTGTTCCCCTCCCCCACCCGGCCTACTCTAACCAGGTGCAGCTGAGCCTGGCGAGGGAGGGCAGGGTGTCTGACAGCCAGGGAGGGCAGAAGCCTGCTCAAGTAGTAGGTGCTTTTTTATTTTTGGAGTTTTTTTGCTATAGGGTGTGTGCACTTGCCAGAGAGACAGAGAGACAGAAAGCGAGACATCACCCCCAGGGGGGATGGCCACGCCGCAATCCCTTCTCCTCCATTCTCCTCTCGGGATCTTGGGCACACACGCACACGTGCCCGGTGCAAGCTTAAGCCACCGGGCTCAGGACGCGAACTGCGGTCAACTACATGGGAGTCCAGCGACATAGCCATTACTCTAACTACTGGTACCCCCAGCAGCTTCTTGACCTTGGGGCCTTGATGAAAGCCTCCAGGAAGGGGAAGTGGAGTTGAGCAAGGCTGAAACGGGGCGTGTGCAACGCCCAGCCCTGGCAGCTAGCTGGCAGACGGGCCTGTGCGTTCTCCGAGTTCCCTTTTCAGCCTCTGGCCAGGCAGGGCCCCATGCTGGATAAGTGACAGGTGAGGTTTGTTTTAGAGCCAGCTGTTCTTCCGTTTAGAGCCTAATTCCTTGGCCCCCCAGGCTGCCCCGCCAGTTGTGTTCATCTGAGGGTCCACATTCTCCTCTCCCCGCTGAAGTTCCACTCTCTCATGTGTTGTTTTCAACAAGCTTTTGCTGTTTCTTTCTAGCCCCATTTTTGAGGAAGACACACCCTCGGTTATGGAAATAGAAATGGAAGAACTTGATAAGTGGATGAACAGCATGAACAGGAATGGTATGTGGTCACCGGAAGTGGGTTTTCTTCCTCCAGACAACAGAGGCTGCCGTGCTCTGTAAACACCAGCTCTGTCCCTCCGGGGCTAGACGGCCCTCCCAGACTGGCCCCAGTGTATGCAGCAAGAGCCCAGCCTGACCGCCCTTAGATACTTGTTTAATCACTGCACCAGTTGTTGCCACTGAGTAATTTAATTTCTTTTTTTAGAGAGAGATCTTTGCTGTAGGGCATGTGTGCTCACAGACAGAGAGACAGAAAGCAAGAAATCACCCCCAGGGTGGATGGCCACGCCACAATCCCTTCTCCATTCTCTCAGGATTTGGGGTACGCACACACACGTGCCCAGCATGAATTTCTAGCTGCCAGGTTTGGGACTTTGGGACTCGAACTGTGGTCGACTGTGTGGGAGTCTAGCAATGTAACCATTATGTCATCTGCTGATCCCAACTCTTTGTATATTATAGAATTTGGAGATCTATCATTTTAAACTGTTTATTGATATAAAGCTATCAAGTATAGTTTCATAGATCTGTCCCGTTCATTGCAATAGAGATTAACAAAAGGTGGCTATTTATTTTTATTTTTTTTTTTGGGAGGGAGAGGTTTTTGCTATAGGGCACATGTGTTTGCCAGAGAGACAGAGAGAGACAGAGAGACAGAAAGTGAGAAATCACCCTGCAGGGAGGATGGCCACGCCGCAATTCCTTCTCCTCCATTCTCCTCTTGGGATCTTGGGCATGCACGCACACGCGCCTGGCGTGAGTTTAAGCCACTGGGTCCGGGACTCGAACTGTGGTCAGCTATATGGGAGTCCAGCGACATAGCATTCACACCATCTGCTGTCCTGGTGGCTATTTAACTTGAAATGAACTAAGATGAACTAAAACTAAAAACTTGAGTTTTTCTTTTTCTTATATATATTTTTTTTTCAGAGAGGTTTTTGCTATAGGGCGCCTACGCTCGCCAGAAAGACAGAGAGAGACAGAGAGACAGAAAGCGAGAAATCACCCTCCAGGGGAAATGGTCACGGTGAGAAATCACCCTACTGGGCGTCGTCCCTTCTCCTTTCTCCTTTTGGGATTTTGGGCATGCATGCACATGCACTCCGCATGAGTTTTAGGCTGCTGGGGTCCGGGACTCGAACTGAGGTCGGCTATATGGGAGTCCAGCAACATAGTCATTACGCCAACTGCTGGTCCCAAAACTGAGTTTTAGTAGCCACATTGAGTGCTACTCTTCTGGGCGGTGCAGATGTTGGGCATTTCATGACTGCAGACTGTTGTATTGGGCGGTGCGTATATAGATAGTAACAAATATCCCCGTGTAGCTTAATTTTCAGTTGCTATCTGGCAGTAATGGGAATATGTATTCCTTGCTTTCCATTAAATCAGTAATTGGACTTCCAGGTGATGAGAGCAGGTCCAGCTGGTGGTGTGGTGGTTAAGACAGCTGGATTCCCCCATGGCTAACTCTGCGGTTCAAGTCCCAGACCTGGTGCCTTGAAAAACACTCTAGGCACATGTGTGTGCATGCTCCAGATCCCAAGAGGAGAGCAGAGGAGAAGGGATTGTGCTATGGTCGTTTCTGCACAAACACCACACAGCTCGGGGAACGCATGCGCGCGGGTTGTGCGGAGGAAAGTGAGACCGCGGTGACTCACAGTGCCTTGTCTGTCTGTCCTAGCCGACTACGAGTGTTTGCCGACTCTGAAGGAAGAAAAGGAATCGAACCACAGCCCCAGGTACTTCCCGTTCCTCCCCGAGACTGCAAGCACGGGAGGGGACGGCTCTGCGTGTCATTTGACGTGACAGTTTCCATGATGTGTAGTGTGCGGTGTGCCAGAGAGGAAGTGAGTCCAGAGGGCAGAAGCCACCCAGCCACTATCCTGGTCTGTCCATCTGTCTGTCTTTTTTTTTAAAAAAAAGAATTATTTACTTCATTTTATTTATTATTATTATTTTTAAAATTTGACTGAAGAGAGACAAAAAGGGAGAAGGAGAAAAGGGGAGCAAGAAAGCAAGCCACAGGGGTGGCAGGTGGTGTGGTTGTTAAGGGTACTGGACTCCCACATGGCTGATTGCAGTTCAAGTCCTGGACCTGGAGGCTTTCTTTCTCACTTTCCTCCTCTCTCTCTTTCACAGTCTGTCCCTCTCTCGTCAAATTAAAATAAAGTTAAATATGGTAATTTTTTTTCTTTTTTTTTTAAAAAAAAAAAAAGTCACCAGGTTTGGGACTCAAACCATGGTCAGCCCTGTGGGGGCCCAGAGCCTTTGCCACCATGTTACCTGCCGGCCCCAGTGTTTCTTAAAAAACAAAACAAAACAAAACAAAACAAAACACAAAACAGAAATGAAAGAAAGAATTATTTATTTGATTTTATTTATTAGTTTCATTTAAAAATTCTCTTATAGGGTATGTGCGCTCACCAGAGAGAAACAGAAAGGAAAGTGAGAAAGCAAGCCATCAGGCCTAGGACTCGAACTGTGGTCAGTCACATGGAGTCCAGTACCTTAACCACCATGCGACCCACTGGCTCCTCCTAGTGTTTCTTTATCCTTTTTTGGGGGCAGGGAGGAGAGGTTTTTGCTATAGGGCACGTGTGCTTGCCAGAGAGACAGAGAGACAGAGAGACAGAGAGAAACAGAGAGACAGAAAGCAAGAAATCACCCTCCGGGGGGACAGCCACACCGCAGTCCCTTCTCCTCCATTCTCCTCTGGGGCACACACGCACACGCACTCGGCGTGAGTTTAAGCCGCTGGGTCCGGAACTCAAACCGTGGTCACCTACGTGGGAGTCCAGCGACATAGCCATTACGCTAACTGCTGGACCCTCTTCATCCTAGAAATAAATAGCATTGACCATCGAGAGAGACACTGTTGACTTGGTTTTCCCTTTAGTCATAAAACTTTCTGTTAGGGAACCAGCAGTTAGCGCAATGGCTATGTCACTGGACTCCCACGTAGTTGACCGCGGTTCATGTCCCGGACCCGGTAGCTTAGAACTCACGCCGGGCGCATGTGCGTGCGTGCCCAAGATCCCGAGAGGAGAATGGAGGAGAAGGGATTGTGGTGTGACCATCCCCCCTGGGGGGTGATTTCTCGCTTTCTGTCTCTCTGTCTCTCTCTATCTGGCAAGCGCACACGCCCTATAGCAAAAACCTCTCCAAAAAAAATAATTAAAAAAAAATAAGAAAAAAATAATCTTTCCGGTTAGAGCAAATGAGGTGTGTTTGCCTTGGTTAAGGTGTCTGGTAGGGAAGACAGGTGGAGGTGAGTTTCACCAGGGATAACTGTCAATAAGAGTGAGTGAAGGGGCCCGCAAGCGGCATGGTGGTGGAGGTGCTGGACTCCCACATGACCGGCCGTGGTTCGAGCCCTGGACCTGGTCTCAACTTTGCCTCTCTCTCTCTCTCTCTCTCTCTGTCTCTCTGGTGGTGTGCCTTATAGCAAATGAAAATATAATAATAATAATAATAAATTAAATTAAATAAATAATTATTTAAAGAAAAAAAAAGAGTAAGTGAAAAGAACGCATTTAACAAACAAAAACCCCACCCACCTGGACTGCATTTTTCCAGGAGAGAAAGGAAATGAAAATCTAACAGCACAGCCACCAACCACCAGGTGGCTCTGCTCCATAGAAAGTCCGTGGGGCCGCGTCACCTCCCGGGCTCGGCAGTCTCTGTCCTGTTGTCTTCCGTGCAGATGGCGTGGGGTGGTTTCGCTCAGAGAACTGTCTGGGCAGAGGATGGGAGTTGGTCAGTGACTCAGCAGGTTGGGGACTTGCTCAGAGCTCCGCTGGGATCTCGGGGCACCTCTTCATGGGCAGGGATGGCCCCTGGGCATCCGGAGAGCAGAGAACCTGTGACTGACAGTCTGCTTCATAGGAATAAATGAAAGAACTGTCCCCTCTCCCTGCATGCCATCCGGAGGGCGGTGACAGTCATCCAGAATGCTTCCGGAGTGTGGTCACACGCGTCGGCAGTCCCTGACGGCCGCGCTTTGCCAGGGACAGCGGACTATTAGACAGCCCAGTGGGGCAGCCGGACACATGTCTTGGGGCCCTGCTCGGACTGTCCCCGGAACTGGCTAAGAATGCTCACCCTGCATCTCTCTCCACGTCACACGGCTGCAGCCCCGCTGAGCAGGCCTCAGCTCTGACCCCGAAGCCCACATCTGAGCCAGAGGACAGGACGCAGCGCTGTCTCTGGGTATGGTACGCTCAGACAGATTGCGGTTCAGAAAAGATTCTGACTCATTTAAATGAGATTCTGATATTAACAAGGAGAAGAAGGAAGGAAGGCAAAAAGGAAGAGAAAGAAGGAGAGGAAAGAAGAAAGAAGAGAAGAAGATAGAAGCCGGGAAGAAAGACAAGAAGAGTCCAAGCACTCACAGAGAACCATCTCGCAGTCTCTACCCGGGAGAGTGAGGGCCTGGGCGCGGTGCAGAGCTCGCTCACCTCCAGCATTGGCCCCTCTTGCCGACGGCTGAAATGCCGGTGCCGTTCACACACGTGTCCTTGGCCCTTGAAATCGTTGGCAACACAGAAGAAGGACTGGATGGTGGCCATACAATCTTAAAAATCGGATTCTGGGGACCAGCAATTGGCATAATGGCTGTGTCACTGGACTCCCACGTAGTCGACCGCGGTTCGAGTCCCGGACCCAGTGGCTTAAACTCACGCCAGGCACGTGTGCGTGCGTGCCCAAGATCCCGAGAGGAGAATGGAGGAGAAGGGATTGAGGCGTGGCCATTTCCCCTGGGGGGTGATTTCTCGCTTTCTGTCTCCTTGTCTCTCTCTGTCTTTCTGGCAAGCGCACACACCCTGTAGCAAAAACCGCTCAAAAAAAAAAAAAATCGCATTTCTGGAACATTGATAAGTTGGCCTCTGGGAGTGCAAGTCATTTCTGGCTGTAAGGCTAAAAGCCTTAACCTAGTTGGAGAGCGTTTTAGCTAAGTCACTGTCGTCACGGTTCTCCTTCTTTTTTTTTCTTTATTGAGAGAGTGAGCGAGCAAACAGGAGGTTTGGGGGAGGAGAGAGACAAAGACGTTTGTTTTTCTGTTTGTTTGTTTTGTTTTTAAAGACGTGATCTTGACATGCATCCTCCTGCCCTGGCCTCCCAGCTGGGCCCACAGGCAAGCACTGTCATGCGGGCTCTCCCTCTCCTTCCCTCCATCTCCCTGTCCCTCCCTCCCTCTCCCTCTCTCTCCTTAGGGTCTCCCTGAGCTGCTCAGGCCACCTTGAGCTCCCAGTCCTCCTGCCTCAGCCACCTGAGTTGCTGGTTTTCCCGATGGCAAGCATGTACACACACCGGTGTGTTTTCCAAGCTGCCAGGGTTGGGATTTGAACCACAGCCAGCTATGCAGGCTTGGCCATGTTAAGACTGGCTTCCTATGCAGTGGGAGCCTACTCACTGCACTTGTCCAACTGGACAGAGAAGAGTTTCTTTTAAAATTCTGTTTTTCTTTTCTTTTACTACTTAGCTAAATAAATGAGCTATTCCATAAATTAAAAGGCAGTTTATAGATTAAACATGTGAGAGAGGACCTTTAGGAGTAAGATGCACCCACTGTCTAGCGTGACCGTGACGAGACAGGACATGCAAGAGAACCAGTTTTGAGTGAATTTTTAAGAATAATTATTTTATTTATTTTTATTCATCATTATTATTTTGCTTAATTTGAGGAGAAGGGGAGTAAGTGAGAAAGCAAGCCTCCGGTCCAGGACTTGAACCGTGGTTGGCTATGTGGAAGTACAGCATCCCAACCACCATGCCACCTGCTAGCCCTACTGTGTGAACTTTTTAAAAAATAATTATTTATTTATTAAATTTTATTTGTTATTATTATTATTATTATTTATTTGACCAGAGAGAGAGAAAGAGAAGGTGAGAAAGCAAGCCACCAGGTTCAGGACTCAAACCATGGTCGTCCATGTGGGAGTCCAGTGACTTAAATACCGTGCCACCTGCTGGTCCCATGTGAACATTTTTAGGCCTCTCTGCTCAAATCCATGGTCACTTCTAATTTTTCTCTTTATGAGTTTGCTTTCTCTTTTCCTCTCTATTCCCATAAAAGTCACTTAAAAGTATACTTAAGGGACCAGCAGTTAGCGTAATGGCTATGTCGCTGGACTCCCATGTAGTTGACCGCGGTTCGAGTCCTGGACCTGGTGGCTTAAACTCACACTGGGCACGTGTGCGTGCGTGCCCAAGATCCCAAGAGGAGAATGGAGGAGAAGGGATTGCGGTGTGGCCATCCCCGGGGGGTGATTTCTCACTTTCTGTCTGTCTCTCTTTCTGGTGAGCACACGTACCCTATAGCAAAAACCTCTCAAAAACAAAAAATTAAAAATAAATAAATAAAAGTATACTTAATCAACAAGTATTAAGTGCTCACTGGTTTCCCATGAATCTGAGCATGGTATTATGAGGGATACAAAGTTACATTTCTAATCCTGCAGGGTAGTAGCTTCAAATAACATTGTTAAAGTGCTGGGTGTGTGTGTCTGTGAGTGTGTGTCTCTGTGAGTGTCTGTGTGTGAGTCTGTGGGTGTGTCTCTCTGTGTGTGTCTGAATGTGTGTCTCTGTAGGTGTGTGTGCATGTGTGCTGTGTCTGTGTGTGTGTGTCTGTGTGTGTGGATGTGTGTGTCTGTGTGTCTGAGTGTCTGTGGGTGTGTGTGGGTGTGTGTATGTGTTTCTGTGTGTGTGTGTGTCTGTGTGTATGTGTCTGTGAGTGTGTGTCTGTGTGTGTGTGTTCGTGTATCTGTGACTGGGTGTCTCTGTCAGTATGTGGGTGTGTATGTCTGTGGGTGTGTCTGTGTGTGTCTGGGTGTGTGTCTGTGTGTGTCTGAGTGTGTCTGTGGTGTTTGTCTCTGAGTGTGTGTCTGTGTGTCTGTGTGTATGTCTGAGTGTGTGTGTGTCTGTGCGTGTGTGTGTGTCTGTGTATCTATGAGTGTGTGGTGTGTGTCTCTGAGTGTGTGTGTCTATGTGTGTGTCTCTGTGAGTGTATGTCTGAGTGTGTCTGTGGTGTGTGTCTGTGAGTGTGTGATTCTGTGTGTCTCTGTGTGTGTCTGTGGTATGTGTCTGTGAGTGTGTGTGTCTGTATGTCTCTGTGTGTTTGTGGTGTATGTCTCTGTGAGTGTGTGTGTCTGTGTGTGTGCCTGAGTGTGTCTGTGTGTCTGAATGTGTCTGTGGTGTGTGTCTGTGTGTGTGTCTGTGTGTGTGTCTGTGGTGTGTGTCTCTGTGAGTGTGTGTGTCTGTGTGTCTCTGTGTGTGTGTCTGTGGTGTGTGTCTGTGGTGTGTGTCTGAGTGTGTGTCTGAGTGTGTCTGTGGTGTGAGTCTCTGTGAGTGTGTGTGTCTGTGTGTCTCTGTGTGTGTGTCTGTGGTGTGTGTCTGTGGTGGGTGTTTGGGGTGTGTGTCTCTGTGAGTGTGTGTGTCTCTGTGTGTGTCTCTGTGTGTGTGTCTATGGTGTGTGTCTCTGTGAGTGTGTGGTGGTTGAGGGAAGGAGTGAATGTTGAAAACCGCAGCGTGGCTTGACCAGTAGCCAGGTTAGTCTACACTCCGCACGATCTACGTGGCTTGGACTAACTGGAGGCCTGGCTCTGCTGGTGCTCAGATGCGTGACCTCCGTAATTCCTCCCGGCAGGCCTCTGGCGGGAAGGAGGCCGACCTTACACTCATTAGAGGAGCCTGACTAATTGTTACAAGACCTTGTGCAGAACTGAACTTGCGCGCCCTGAAAACCTAGTTAGAAGTCGCCGTGACAACAGAGAGTTTTCGCGTGCTGTGCCGCCGTCCACGTCCCGTAGGGGCCTTCCTGTGCTCGTAGTGACAGATTGACAAGAGAGCCTGGCCCGAGAGCAGGGGTG